TGTAGCTCTGACTGGCCTGGAACTCACTGTGTGGACCAGTGTGGCTTTGAACTCATAGAGAGCTGCTTCTACCTCCCAAGTGCTGAGATTTAAAGTGTGTGCCACCATGAATTTTTGTAACAAGGAGTGTCTGCTATAGCAGTTCTCTGCAACCCTAACTCAGGGGGAAAAACCCCTTCATTTCTATCTCGGCAGGAATGGGTAAGAGGAGATTTTAAAAATTTGTGTTCTATTCACTGTATTATATTTTTATTTTCAACAATACAATAACAATGCTCTAAAGATACGTTTAAAAATACGTTTCATGTTTTCACATTTTCTTGGTCCCTAAAAATGAAGCCACGAGCTGGATATTTTCAAAGTCTTTTGGTTCAAGAATTCTGTGACCCTTCCTTTGTGAAAATGCAGCGGTGACCCTCAGCTCTTTCCAAGACACTGGTTAAGGAGAATCAGTGGGTGTGAGTGGTGCCTAACAGTCTTCGAGCGATCTGAGTATCTCTTGATAACAGTCAATTAAGTTTCAGATTCTGTCAATATTTCCTCTGCAACCCAAGGAAGGACTGGTGATCTTATGGAAAGGGAAAATTACCTTGTTTCTTTTTTATCAGTCACAGTAGTGTCTCTGTCTCTCTCGATGCCTTCACCTCTCTCTCTGTCTCGCCTTCTCTCTCACACGTTTTTCTCTCTTTCCCTTTGAAACATAGCAAATGCACACAGGTAATATTTCTATTCAGAGACCACGTGGGAAACGATCATCCTTCCATTTTCTTATGAACCAAAAAATCTGATCTTTCAAAGAAAAAAGTTTCAGCCATTAGCTGAGTAAAATACAGAAAGTCAAGAGACATGGGAAAATCTTGAAGCTTTTCTGCTTAACCCACTAGGGTATTCTGAAAATATGTTCAGAATACACTGTATGAAATTCTCAAAAAAAAAAATAACATTTCCAAAAACCCCTGGGAGAGTTAGATTTAGGACAGCTTAATTTGGGCCTATTTTTTTTTCTGTCTTTCCTGTGATATTTCTATGAAGGCCACTAAGATTCAAGAGGTGTCCCACGTAGTGATAGTTTAGAGGTAAAACATAAAGTTTCTTTGAACAGAGAACTTGTAACTTGTGTGGTAATAACGGTCTTCTGGGGCAGGATACTAATGGTAATGCCCACAGAGACAATGATAGTTTCTGAGATGTGCTTACATTTTGAGGAACATATTATTCAATAAGATAGTTAAGACTCATTTGATCCAATCATGTTATGAAGTATGTATTTCAACTAGTGACACTTCATATATTTTAATTCATGTATACATTTCCAAGAAAATGAAAAAAAAAAAAAGCCCTAATTAAAAGCAAGCTTAAATATAGCAAGAGAGATATCATCTAAAGGTTTTTTTTTTTTTTTTTTTTTTTTTTTAATCAGGTAGTGAGCTAGAGTGTGAAACGATGGTCCAAGGAAGCTGACCCTGGACAACTGGGACTGAGCATTGCTTTTAGTGTTCTGTGGAGCCTTGCGGAGAGTTACAACCTAAATGTCCAAAAGGTGGTTTTCTTGGATCTACTTTATAGAAAAATATTTCACTGAAGATAGTTGTAAACTGTCACACTTGAGTAGAGTTCAACTATTCTGTGGTTAGTACTGTTCATTATTACTGATTTTGTGAATACATGAATATATATGGGAATTCTACTAAGCATGTCTACGAATCAGCCTATGTAGGACCCCAGGTTTCACTGCAGTTGAGAAAATTGTGGCTCAGGAAAGTTAACTAACACATCCTAAAAATGCAAATGACAGCAGCGGTGGTCATGGCCTGCTCCCTAAAATAGTGTAACTTAAGGGACCCCATAGACAGTCTGGAGAATATGGAATCACATAATTAGTATCTGGGTCTCAGGTGATACACGGATACTGTTTTGTTTAAGTGGTAACCAGTAACTACCCCAATACCTTAAAAACATGGCATAGTGACTTAACTTTCTGGACTAAACAGCAATGGTGACTTATTCAGATACGTTCTCTCCATTACTCGTATGAGTTGTTCACTTGCTTTGTAGATTAACCTGTGGGGGGATATTGTGGTATTCCACCTGGAAGCCCCCACTCCATGACTGAAGCTCCCATTCTCTCAGTACCCTGAGCATTTCTGCTGACAAATTTGCCTCAGTTTCCTCACCAGAGATTGTCTTTGATCACTGAGAATCCCCTTATCCATGCCTGTGCTTTTTATGTAGGAGTACTGTGCATCTAAGTACTAAGTGACTTGCAAGTATTCTCGGCTCATTTGTCTTGAAAGGACCAGGCCGACGCCATAACAGGCTGCTCAGTCTTCTCTCAGAGATCAGGCCTCAATTTCAGTTTCCTGAGACCTGAGCAAGCAGTTTCTGGGACGGCTATGGCATAGTCCTTGCAGTAGCTCCCTTTCTGCACGTACTCTGACTGCTCAAGGTTCAGCCAGTTGTTTACTGCGGGACCCCTCACCAACTTAGAGCTACGTGCATGTGTCAATGTGAACGTGCAAGACCAGCCAGCCCCCATGGCGGCTCAAGGACAGAGCCTGGGACTTGTCCAGGCCTGCCCCCAAATGATAACTGTAAGCCCCAACCAGTAAATTCAAAGGTTATACATCCTCACCCAATCATATGACACTAAGGCTTGTACCACCCTGCTTGTGATTTTTCACATTAAAAACCCCTCACTCTGAGAGCTCAGGGCTGTCCTCCTCTACCTGCTGTGTCAAGTGTTGAAATGAACCAACCTGGGCTTGCTTGTTATCAATAAGCCCCTGTGTGTATTGCATTGGATATCAGCTCTGTGGTGGTCTTGCTTGGGGGAGGGGTTCTTGCTTGGGGGTCTTGCGATGCGGCCATAACAGTCTCAGCCTGCAACAGCTGTAAAGGCTACTCTAGCCCCCATGGCATCTGTTGAGATCAATGTCACTTCTACATCACAGTTCAGCTTTCTCTTGACATTTCCTTCCTCACCCCTTTACGTTACAGATGCCTACTGAGGTCACTCCTGGATAAAATTCTGATCCAAATCCCCATTATCAAGTCTTTCTCAGAGACCAAGACAAAATAGTTAAGGAAAATCCCAAAGCATTTCTACTTATTCAGCATTCTTCTGGTATATCACTTTTCTTTTGATAGTTGTATGTTTTGGAAAATCAAAGGTTTTCAATGGCCTAATTACGATCTAAGTGGAAAGGCAAGCACACTAAACATAAAGGTCATGAGAAATTTACATTATTGCCAATCCTTCCTCAGAATTAAAATCATTAAACCCCTTTCCATACAATGGTGTGTTACAGAAAATTGCAGTCATGCAATTAATCAATATTTTGATGTCTAATATCTGTAAGTCATCTTTTATTTATTTATTTTTCCCTTCTGTATTTTCTCCCTTTAAAAAAATTCATCTACTTATTTTACATCCTAGTAAAAGCCTCCCCCCATCCACCCTTCCTAGTCCCTCTCCCCCATTGCCACCTCCTACTCCCAATCCATTTCTCTTCCTTTTCCATCCAGGAAAGCACAGGTCTCCTATGAATACCGATAAAACATCAAGTTGCAGTGAGACTAAGCACCTCCACATGTATTAAGGCTGGGCAAAGCGACCCAGTATGGAGTAGGTCCCCAAAAGCCAGTAAAAGAGTGGGAGACAGCCCCTGTTCAAGTCATCTTTTAAAAAAGTAAAAGACATGCTCCACTCTCAAGCAATGTAACTAACAAATAAAATAATAAAAGGGAAATATTAGTGGTTCTAATGAAGTATTATGAGTTCCTATTTGAGAGGAATGTAGCCATTTTGGCTGGGATAATTAGACTATGTATCTTGGAAATATGGTATTAAGAAGGCAGTGGACGAGGGTGCAGTGTACTTTAATACACAGTCTTAGTCAACTCGGGATTTTAAAAGCAGTTAACAGCTTTTAAACAAATCCTTATTAGCTTATAAATAAATGCAACCACTAAATATTTTTAGCCCCGTCTAAGGGAGTTGGAGGTTAGTTGATGTTATCAGTGAACTGGGCTCAGTTAATGTTGCCGTGGTTCTGCACCCTCTCTTCATTCCTTTCACAAACCACAAGAGCAAGTGACCTTTTCAGAAGCTTGAAATGTCTGTGTGCCAAGAGTGTTTTCACTGGCTCCTTCTGACTTTGTGACAGAAGTGAATAAATTGAATTGAAGCTTAAGTGTGTCCACTTGCTAGTATGAATCATCCACTCCAGGGCCCCTGCCTTGTTGGTTTTTAATTCTTCTGCTCTGCTACTCAAAGGGACTTTGAGTTGTGCTGTCTATATAAACAGAGGTAAGTGTAGACCTCTGATATGTATTTCTCTGAATTTGTACATGATTGTCTTTACCCTCTCTCCCTCCTCCCTCTTCTCCCCCTCCTCTTCTTCCTCCCCTTCCTCCCCCTCTCTTTCTTTCATGGTGTATGTGCATTTGTGTGGGTGTGTGCATGTGTATCTACAAGTATGCTCCTACGTAGAGGCCAGAGGTCGATGCTGGTTGTCTTCTTTGATTGCTCTCTACTTTTTTTTTTTTGAAACTGGGTCTCTCACTGAACCCAAGGCTCATTAACTGGGTGAGGCTGGCTGACCAATGAACTCTAGGGATCCACTTGATTTCCTGTCCTCAGTGTTACAGTTACAGTCATCTTCATACCTGATTTTTACATGGGTACTGGGAATCCAAGCTCAAGACCTCATTCTTGTTTAGCAGGTATCGCCCTAACCTCTGAACTTATTCCAGGATAGGGATTCAACATTCTGCTTTGGAAACAGTTCTAAGTTAACATTGGATGGATATATGTCTCTTTCCAGGGCAGGGAAGTCAACTACGTAGCCCACTAAATAGTAATCTTGGGAAATAGTTTTATCTGGTAGTGTGTTTTCTGGGCTTTTTACACATTTAAATCCTATCTATATCTGAACTAGCCTGACTAATCTAACGTATTGCTGGATTTATCAGTGATGTTCTTTTGTGGCTCTATGTAGGAGCTTCTGAATCTATCCATCAACCTATTCATATTTTGTGATTTACCATCTGAAAGAAGACAGCAAGAATGAGAAACGGAGGAAAGGACTTAAGGATTGTTGGAGTGATTCAGTACTCACTCGCTTCTTCACAAAACAGAACCAGAGCAACAGTGTACATGTGTCTTTTGAGTAGCTATGGGAGAACATTGGAATTCAATAGTAGAGGAATGAACACCTTGTAAAGCCCAGAGGCTTTAGACATCAGCACAGCAAGACAAACACAATATCCCATCACCTGCCACCTTCTGCACCTAGGGAAGAGGCTTTCCTTACATGGGGGAAAGGTGAGTGAACTCCAGTGATCACTGTAAATGTAGATATGATAGTCCTTGTCCGGAAAAGTTTCACAGCCCTCGAAGACTTATAGTCATAAAGGTAAGAGGTCTTGAAATACGCACTGTAGATTGGCCCTGGGAGAGGAGTTCACCTCGAAGGAGCTCTTCAATGTAGAACTCCTCTGTGGCCTTGAACCATCTTAAGAGAGGCCCTACTGCCTAAATTTGGACTGCTTCAGAGGCAGAAATTTCTACATGTTCCCATCTCAGGCCCCACAGATTACCAACATGCTGGCCAAGCTGGTGGCTGACTCACAAGCCAGGCTGGGCTTGATGGAGTGACTCCGACACCACTCACTGGACATAGTACTTAGTAAGGAGCAGGCATTATGATATAGATGGGATCAGTAGGTATCATCTAAAAGAACTTTTGTTCTCTAAGGCCACAGGGGTGGTCAGTCATCTGAGGATCCACGTGGGTACCAGGATTGAGGGAAGTTTTCTGCTTGTCCTTTCCATCTCTCAACTCATGAACACCTGTTCAATTTCCACTGCTCCTTTGCCCACAGAGGCGTACTGGGATGTTTTGAGCAAGATGCCCAGGTCCCAGTTGTAGCTGTGCCAAGCACAGTCTAAGATGGTATGGAGTAAGACATCCGACTGTGCTCTGCTCTCCCTTGCTCCTGTGAGCACATTAGCTAAGAGGACTGTTGCCTGGCTCCAGCCACAACCCACTCCTACACAATCCCTGGTAGGCGTTTCAAATGAAAGAAACTGAGGCAGAGGATGAGGGAGGTGCAACGAGCTCAGATGTCAGTCACCTGTCCCTCAGGGCTCACTGCCTAAGGAGGTCTGGAGAGAAAATGATTCCAGTGCCAACCACATTTTCCCCGTGCTCTGCCCTGTGAGCATCTCAATTGACATGCATTTTGTTAATCTCTAGTCACGACTCTTTCTTGCTTGATCTCTAATGATCACTGTAGCTAAAAGAATCAAGGGTAGGGGGAGAATAACTCCAAACTATCATGTCCTCAGCATGCACATCCAGAGAGGCACTGAGATCCGGATACTGGTAAAGCATCCAGATATGGTAGCAGTAGGGGAGAGGACAGTTTTTTGCATCTGCATATGGGTGAGACGCTGGCATGCATCACCCCTGCACCTTGCTGGATTCCACAGTGCTATCAAGATGGAATGTAAGCCTCACAAAGAGGGTGCCAGGACGTCTGCTTCTGCCTTTCCTTGGGAAGCACCAAAACCTGCAGAAGTGTCTAAAGGATAGGTACTCAAAGTCCTTCACTGCTCCTGGAGTCAATACCAGAGGTCCATTCAAATAAGAGTCAATCTCAATAGTGTCCCTAAACTCAGTAGGGGCCAACACTCTCATTCCAGGCTTAGCCACACAGGACTCACATTCTTCTACCTACACCACACCTGCCTAGACTGCTTTTGTATACACCCACTGCCTGAACTCTTGCATAGAGATAGTGACTTTCTACAACCCCCGTACAGTATGGACTGTGCCCCAAAGAGAGATTACATGATAGTACCTAGTTAGAGAAGATGTTGCACAATAAACTTCTATTCCCACATATAGCTCTTGAAATTTACCAAGCTATTTAATAAGTCCACCTCATAAAAGTTGTAGAGAGATCCATTTCACCAGATAGAAAAACACTGATTCAGAAATACAAGGAATCTGAAAAAAGTATGACACTCCCCAAGGTTTATAACTGTTATGGTCTGAATCTAATCCCCCTCTTACATTTTGAGCATTGATTCCCTTGCTGGTACAACATTACTTTGGAAGGAAGCTGGGCAGTGGTGGTGCATGCTTTTAATCCCAGAACTTGGCAGGGCAGAGCAAGGTGAATCTCTGTGAGTTCGAGGCCAGCCTGGTCTACTGTGCGAGATCCAGGACAGGCACCAAAACTACTCAGAGAAACCCTGTCTCGAAAAACCAAAGAAAAGGTTTTGGAGTTTTGGAGGGATATGAAATGCTAGGAGGTGAGGTCTGGCTGGTAAAAGTTTATCCTTAGAGACGGGCTTCTATTGGTTGTAGCTTGGGCGCTGAGTCTGGATGCTCAGTGTGTAGTGGGTAGCCATTCCAACTTGGATCTGGAAGTTCCAACCCCCATTGAGACTCTGGCAACTGTCACACCTACGAGGCGGGGTGAGGGGAGGTGCTGGAGAGCTGGATGGGCCAGCACTCTCTCTGTGCCTGGACCCTGGACGGTGGAGGTTGACGGTGCAGAGCTCCAGAGAACACCGCTGGATTGCGATACACCTTCCCCAGACCCCCGCAACCTATCTATTCCTTCATTTGTAAGTCATCCACTAAATAAATCTTCCTTTTAACTACGTGGAGTGGCCTTTATAATTTTCCCCAATACAGTGCTTGCTGGTTTACATATCTACTACCACTGCTCTGTCTCAGCATGATGGACAGCAACCCTGAGGCATGAGACAGAATCAATCTCCCCTCCTTCATGCTGTTTTCATCCCTTAGTTTGGTCACAGTCAAGTGAAAGTAACTAATACAGAAAATTGGAAACAGAGAAGTGAGGTCATTGCTGTGATTCAACCTAACAATTTGGTTTTTAGGTCTTTGGGGTTGGACCGTGAGAGGGGATTAAACAGTCTTAAGGGGTGGGAACAAAGGAAATGTATAAAATAAAATGCACTTCATTAGGTGGTATCAAGTTCCTGGAGGCCTTGTACTCTGTCCTTGGATTCTAGGTTATGAATCTTGGGCTTGGGGTATGGGAGTCTAATAGAATGTATCAATTCCTAAAACACTTCTATATGTTTTCCCTGGCAGATATTATAAAGTAGAATTAGCTTTCCTAGAAGTGTCAGCAATATTGTTGGGAACTTTATATTCTGTAACACATACTTTCTAACATAAGCAAATAAAAGTGTGATCAGTGAGTGGATGAATTGCTTTCTCTTATAGAGACTGGAAAATGATCAACATTTCTATGTATCATCTACCAAATGAGCAGAAAACATACAGGTGTATTTATGGCAAAACCAAGAATGGACAATCAACTTGTCTAACCCATTATTTGAACTTGTACTTTCCATTTCTCTTGAGCTTTTTAGTGAGAAGTAGTTTCAGAAGCCACGGCAGGGGCAAAGTAGAGGCTGGAGGGCAACACACAGTGAAGGAAACTGAATACAGAGCCTCCCTTCATTCTTTAGTTCCCAACGCCCTTGTGGCTATGGCTCCCACTCCTTGCCACCTTGTTCTAGACAGTAGACCCGGTCAGGCTGTACTCACTTATCTCAGATCACATCCTACTTCAACAACTGTGTCAACAGGAAGTGGGGCTCCTCTATTCTTTTTTGAAGCAGTATTGATTTCAGTTTTGGAGCATGGTATTGCCTGAAAGGAAAAAGAATCTCTTCCAAGTATCAGATTATTGATTGTTATTAATTCTTCTTAATTATATCTAACAGTCTGAATGCTCTAAGGGGTTTCTTGATAATTGGTTCCAATGGAAAATCATTCCTTCTTTAAAGTTTCTACTAAGAAAATTTACACTAAATTTTTACATTCAGCAAATGTAATGAATGAACTTATTCAGCAAAGGCAAAATGTAGTGCTCTCTGGTAGCAAGCTTCAGAAAATAAGATTTCTGAAATGTTTTTAAATCTCTGAGGCTATTTCTTAAAAAAAAGAAAATTGAATTCTCATAATATTACCCATTTAAATTTTATTTGGCTCTCATTATAATGTAGTTCTAAGGATGCCAGCAGCGTTATCTCATTTAATTACCATTAAATGTATAGATACGCCATCATTTTCCACTGAGGAAAGTGGTTCAGGAGAGTACAGAGGTCTCTGGAGGTGCCACACCCAGCTGGTGTAGCCAGCGTTGGTATCTAGGCAGCAGCTTCTAGGACTACATTACACAAAACCTCCAGTAAGCTGTCATTTTACAGGTGATGAAACTGAGATCCAAAGACATGACACAACTTGCCAAGCTAATATGCTTGGTAAGTGGTGGACCTGGGCTTGGTCCTCCAGTCCCTTGGGCTTCTAGACAACACTTCTGTTTTTATTATTTAAAGCTGACCTGTTACCGGTCCACATTAAAGAACTGGAGTCATTTATTCCAGAAAAGGGCTGAAAAAACTGCTTGCTTTTGTCCCGTTGTGGCAGACGTTCTCATTTCCCGGTGTAATCCCGGTATGTGTTCCACATCAACACATCCTCGCGGTGCTTCTTGGTTGAGCCCTCTCCTTAGTTTTGATGTGTCTGTGCCCCCACTGCTCTGCCTCAACAGAGGGGCTGGGAGCCAGGACTGTCACCTTAACACAAAAATAAGCAGTTGAGTCCATTCGGTACTTCACTGCTGAAGCTGTCCTTTGCTCTTGTATGGAATGCTAGTGGGATCTGGAGAAGTCCGGTGCTGTGAGCTATCCCACGTGACCTCATGGTAAGCCTTGTGGCTGCAATTGCTGATGGAGTTCAGTTTGTACCATACAGGTTACCTAGAGGAAGACCAGCCCATAGTTACTGAAAAATCATGTCCCATGTTGGCCTCCTGATACATGTGAAGATGATAATAGGAAAATATAAGCAGCGAGTGAGCAAAAGAGGATGCCCAGATGGAGTTCTGATTGCAACAGTAACTTCTTTCTGAGTTATTGGAGTCTTTAAAGATGAAAAGACATCAGCACTATCTGTGGTGGAGTAGGCACTAAGCGCTTGTCTCCCTGCTTCTCTTCCCTTCCCCACTGATGTAAGCAATGAATGACCTCGCCATCCAACAAATCTACTGGCTGATCAATTATTGAGTAAATATATTGGGTGATTTCTGTGTGCCTGGCTGTCCCGGGCTCCAAGCAGAGTTGTTTCGGAATGAGGAAGGGCCCTAATAACTAGACCTTAAGGACAGTGGATGTTGCAGTATGGCAGGGCACTTGCCTACTCCATACAGGGCTGTGTTCCATTTCCAGTACTACACCAAAAATATGCCTAAAACTATTAATATAAACCACCATTCTAACACTTCAAAGTATGCAATTCAGTGGCATGGAGCATACTTACAGTATTGTGCAATGGTTACAACTGTCTACTTGCAGCCTGTTTTTTTTTAAAAAAAATAGAAGCTTTGTAAACAATTAAACAATTGCTCATCATCCTACTTCTTCTAGTCCCAGCTAATCCTTTCTGTCTCCATGAGTTTGCCTGTTCTGGATCTCTCTTGTAAGTGATGTCACAGTCTTTGTTCTTCTGTATTTGGCTTATTCTATTCCAAGATACTGTTTCATCTGTGTTGCCACATGCATTGGAAGGTCATGCAAGGTCAATAATCCAATGCATGTGAGCACTTCATTTGTTCACCAGATCTGTTGAGAGTGCTTGGGTTGTCTCTATCTTATGCCTATTATGAACTAAAGCGTGGGTGCCTGGGTCTCTGAGTCCTTGCTTTCCATTCTTTTGGGTGTACATTAAATAGAATAGCTGGGGTCACATAATAATTCTGTTTTTAACTTTTTCAGGTGATGCTAGACTGTTTTCTATGCTGGCTGTACAACTTCATGTTCTTTGGGAATGAACAACACTTATAATTTCTTCACACCCTTACCCGCACTTCTTTTAAAAGTTTTCTCTTAGAAATAGTTACTGTAATGAGTATGAAGGGGTTTTGATTGACACCTTCCTGACGACTTGTGACTTTGATGTCTTTTTATGTGCTTGTTTCCATTCCTATATTTTCTTGGAGAAATGTCTGCTGAAGTTATTTGCACGGCCCATTATTTTTGTGTATGTGTATATTTGTGTGTGCATAGGTGTACGTGTGTGTGTGTGTGTGTGTGTGTGTGTGTGTGTGTGTGTGTGCATGTTCCTCAGGTGCCATCCACCTTGCCTTGAGACAGGAACTCACCAAGTAGGCTAGGCTAGAAGGGCCAAGGGCACCAGGGATAACCCTAGTCTCTGCCTCCTCCCCAGTGCCAAAGGTGCAAGTGTGAGTCACCATGACAACTTATTTCACATGGATTCTGCAGATGAAACTCAGATGCTCATGCTTGCATAGCCAGCATTTTACTGATTGTACTATCTCCCTATATATACTATCTACTGTATTGTAGATATGTTGTATTTTGTAGCTATTGTAAATGGTAGCATTTAAAAGTGTATTTCTCTATTCTTTCTGGAATGTAAAAAGACACTTAATTTTGATGTATGAACATTGAATGTAATAATTGTACTTAGCTGAATTGACGCAGCATCAAACCACCGCTAAACATCTACGTTTATTCCCACAGACAAAGGCTACTCTCAGCCATAAACTGAGATGCCTCTTCTTGTGAAGATGTACAAAATGCTGAGAATAAGGAATCAGATGAGGACTCAGCATCCCTAACATCCAGCTGTGGTTGGGGAAAGAGACTCACAAGACCTCACCACCTATTGTCAAACTGTTGGCAACTGAGAGATTCTGGAAGAGGTTAAGTGTGATACCCGGTGTACCCCCTGGTGAGCCCACCAAGCTCTGATGATTAATTCCAAACTAAGGACCACACAGATGTCCCTGATTAAATTCTGCAGACACTAAACAAAACTCAAACTGGTAACTAGAGAAAAGGGATTATGTAAGGAGTGGTTGATGGTGGTAGGGGAAGTGGGAGGTGGGAAGAGGGCCTAAATACACAGTATACATGTATGAAATTGTGAAAATACAAAATTTGCTAATTAAAATTTCTGCTAAACTCAGTTAATATTCTGGTGATTTATAATGGTTAGTTTTGTCAAGTTGATACAAACTAGGGTCACCAGTGGTCTTAACTGAAGAATTACTTCCATCAGATTGACCTATGGGGGCATTTTCTTTATTAATGACTGATGTGGGAGGGCCCAATCCACTTTTGGTGATCCTGGGAGGCAAAGGAAAATGCTAAACATAAGCCTGAACCAAATCAGTAAGTGGAGGTCCTCCATGGTCTCTGCATCAGTCCCTGACTCCAGAGTCGTGCTTGAGATTCTGTGCTGACACCCCCCCTCCCCGCCCCCGGCTGATGGACAGTCATATGGAAATGTAGGCCAAATGAACTGTTTTTTCCCTAGGTTGCTTTTGGCCAGTGTTTGATCACGGCAATAAAAAGCAAATTAGGACAGCATTATTTTGGATATTCTATATATACAGCTCTACTGTTGATGAGTAATGACTCAATGTGTTTCAACCAATCTTCATGACTCTGAGATATCTTTTTCTGTCTTTTCACCCTAGTTAAGAATTCCCATATAATGATGAATGGAAGTGAGGGTGCTAGGGATACCCGACCTCCTTTCTGATTTTGAAAGTGATGTTGCTCCCTTACAGTTAAGTAGTGTGCTTATAGTAGGCTTTTCTGTATGGGTTATTAAATAAGGCTGTGTTTTCAATTTCTACTATATTACATATTTTGCAGTTTTGAGTTACATATGGGTATTTAACTTTATCAAGTAAATACATTTCATGGTTTCTTTCATATGAACATCTGATTCTTCCTTGTTCCATCACTTGTCCACTGTGTGCTGGATTTGCAGATGCTAACTCAGAGTTTCATCTTGGGATAGCTATGTTTTGCTCACGACAAGTGGCTGTTCTTCTTATTGTGTGCTTACGTAGGATGTGAGAATGTCTGGCATAACGGTTTTGCATTTCCTACTCAGAGAGTCACTGTCCAAAGTTCTCTTGTCTCTTACTTGTCAGCTTTTCATATCCTGATGATGTTAAATGCATAAAACACAATCACAATAAGTTGTTATTTTCAGATAGTACAGTAGAATTTATTATAAAATGTATATGTAAATACCACCTATAAAGGTGTATTCTGTTTGTGAAAGCTGTAAATATAAATTTAATTTTAAGTAGTTATATAATTATTTTGATTTTCTCCTCCTCCTTCTTGTGCTTGATATTGAATCCAGGAACCAGGACCTCTGGTTCTGAGCTATACACTGACTTAGATTTTCTATCTTAGTTTTCAGTTTTGACAAGGTTATAGGGGCATACACCAGTAATCAGTGAGCTGAGGAGGATGAGGCAGGAGAACTGTGAGCTTGAGGCTACCCCAGGCTACCCTTTGGGGGAGGATGAAGCTCAGTAAGTAGAGTGTCTGCAAAAATATATGCAAAAATCTAGGCTTGATCTCTAACACTGCAAATAAATAAGAAAGAAAAAATACATTAATATGTAGTTCAAAATGTCATATAAAGATATTCTTATTCCCATCATCTTTAATGATACATCCATCTTTTTAAACTGAAAATAATTTCTAATAAAATTTTAATTTTTTTTTTTTTTTTTTTTTGAGACAGGGTTTCTCTATGTAGTTTTGATGCCTGTCCTGGATCTTGCTCTGTGGTCCAGCTGGCCTTGATCTCACAGAGATCCGCCTGGCTCTGCCTTCCGAGTGCTGGGATTAAAGGCGAGCGCCACCACCGCCAGGCTAAAATTTTAATATTTTTTTAAAAATAATTTTTTAATACATTTTGAGTATGTGTTCCATTCCCCAAGTCCTCCCAGGTCCTCCCCACTTCTCCACCCTTCCTTCCTTCCTTCCTTCCTTCCTTCCTTCCTTCCTTTCTTTCTTTCTTTCTTTCTTTCTTTCTTTCTTTCTTTCTTTCTCTCATTAGGATACAAATAGGAATCTTAATAAAAAAATAGATAAGATAAAAACAAACTAGAATAGGACCCAACAAACAAACATAAGAAAACAGAAACAAAGAAAAAGCTTGAGGAACACATAGATACAGAGACACATTCATTTGCACATACAGAAACCTACAAAAACATACAACTGGAAACCATAGCATGTATGCAAAGGACCTGTAAGATTAAAAAAAAGCCCTGACAGTGCATCCATCCATAATTTTTAATGCATAATTTTTATGTGTTTTCTATTTCTTAATCAATTTTGAAATATTTCATGAAATGTCAAGAAATACCATTTATTAAATATTTCACGAAACAATTTTTGGTTCTGTGATTCTTTCTACTAATTTTTTTTTAAATTTTTTTATTTTACCAATCTCTGTTTTCATATGTACTGGTCACATGACTTATTCCTTTTGCCTTCACTGGTGTCTTAGTCAAGGTTTTTATTGCTGTGATAAATACCATAACAAAAAGCAACTTGGGGAGGGAAGGGTTCATTCCAGCTTACAAGTTTCAGATGGCACCCGATCAGTGTGGAGAGTCAGGAAGGAGCTGAGGGCAGGAACCTGGAAGAAGGGGCTGAAGCAGAACCAGGGGGAAATGTGGCTCCCTGAACTGATCCTCATAGCTTGTTCAGCCTGCTTTCTTATACAACTCAGGATCACCTGCAGAGGGTTGGCACCACCCCCAGAAAGGGCTGGGCAGCTCTCCCACATCAATTATTAACCAAGAAAATGCCCTTAGGCTTGCCCACAGGCCAAACTGGTTGGCGCCTTTTCTCAATTCAGGTTCCTTCCCTCTTTTTCAAATGACTCTAGCCTGTGTCAAGTTGATAAAAATCTAACCAGGTCAGTTGGTGTTGATTTGATCTGTTTTATTTCTTGAGATAACCTGATTTCAAACTCATTTTTTCTTACATATAATACTTAAGACTATACATTTCCATCTTTGCACAACTTTAATAATCCATGATAAAATTTAATGTATCAGATTTTCATTACAATTAATTTAAGATATTTAAAAATTATCATTGTGATTTAAAAATATTGATATATAAGTTGTTTAAGACATATTTTTAATATCTGTGTATGTAGGTTTTTCATCGTCTGTTAGCTATTAATTTGCATGTGGATTGTGGCTAGAAAACATTATTTTTGGGTATTATTAGTTGTGAAACATATAAGGCTTGGCTTATGTCAGTTTTTAAAAAGAATCTTTTATGCTTGAAGAAAATACTTTGAAGCGGTTAGACATTCTCTTTATCTACGTTAATGAAATCAGCTGTTCATGCTGTTTGGATCTTTGGTATCTTTAGGAGTATTTGTATTTCCCTCTCTATTAGTTCATGAGACAAGGAAGCGAGGATCTGCTACAGTTGTGTATTTGCTGGTTTCTCTTTTCGTTCTATCAGTGTTTGACGGATAGAGTTGGATGTTGTGTTATGAGGGGTGTTTGTGCTTGTACTGGTTATGCATTAAGTGTGAATGGCCCGACCTGAGTCTTTGAAGCATCACTTTCTGTTTCCAGCAATGCCTTTTGCCTCACAGTCTGTTTTCACCATGCAGCAGATCCCATTAATGAGCTTGCATTTCCAGGGCACCCGCCACTGCTGTGCATGGTGGTGGCTCTCTACCATAATCACCAGTGATTCTTTTTCTTCTTCTTTTTAAATTAAGAAAGTTTTTCTTATTCATTTTACATACCAACCACAGATCCCACTCTTCCCTCCTCTCGCCTCTCCAGCCTCCCCTCCCCTCACCCCACCCCACCTGTGATTCTTTAGTTGTGAGCTTTTAGTTACCAGAAAGAAATGTCAGGGAAGGCAGGTCAGAGGGTCTGGGAGGTCTATACCTTGGTAGCAGGGCTGACTGGTGACAGACAGATGGGTATTGCCTGGGTTTCTTCACCCATTGGTTGGGGCTATTCTTAGATATTATACATCATGTCTCATAGGTTCTCAGAAAGATTGAGTCACAGGTTTCTAGTGTGGTAGCCTGCTAATTAATACACCTAGGAATGGTTTCCTTTTCTCTTTGTAATCTTTCTACTTAAATATATATATTTTTCATGCAATATATATATCAATATAATATATGTTATAAATATATATACATAAATTTAAATATATGCTATATAGAATAAATATATCATATAGTATATAAAATAAATATATATACTTTTTAAAACAATTTTTTAATTGATTCTGTGGGTATTTCACATCATGCATCTCAATCCCACTCACTTCCCAGTCCTTCCGTATCTGCTCTCCAACCTTGTAACCTCCACCCCAAAAGAAAATTAAAAAATACAATTAGAATTAAAAAAATAAACAGAAAAGAAAAAAAATCTCACCAGCCCCTCTGGGCAACAACCTACTCCTTTATCAGTTACAGCCTTCTCTCACACCAGGCACACCTGTCCAGTCTCCAGTCTCACTGTACCTGTACCACTCCACTCCTCCATTTTTCTGGCCCCTCCATCACGCCACAGTGGCATTGGAAACTCTGCGGTGTCACCCAGTAGACCCTTCTGCCCAAACAGCGTTACTTGCAAAGGTTCATTGCAGTGAGTCACTGGTCTGGTTCAAGGCCTCGGGCTTCTGTTACAGCGTTAATACCGGAACCTCACCTCCAATATCCTGCTGTTGGCCAGGGTCATGGAGCTCCAGCAGCTATGGTTCCACAGGACCAGTCCCTTTGCGCTCCAGCCAGACATCATCACGGCCTCAGGGGGCAGCAGCACAGGCCTCTCAGATCAGTGGTGACTGTGGCATACCCTTGACCCCATCAACACGGTTCAGTTGGCAACCCAGACTGCAACCACAGACATCCAAATGGCTGGGGCTGGACATCACCATGGACTTGGGTGGCAGTTCAGGCTCCTCATATTGGCCTGTTTTCAATGCCATTGAGTCCCCAGTTCTACCTCTCTCTACCGTGCAT